TAATTCCCCAGCCAGAACCGAACAAACAGACCACCGTGTCTTCCCTACTTTTTCCCACATCCTTCTCTTCTCTGGCCCGCCTCGGTCGTCCATCTGCAGCTAGCTCTGCCTTTCCAAACATCTCGGTGGTGACCAGAATCACTGCTGCAACAAACTCTCCACTCTACTGTTTCGTCACCTGCCGCGGGTACGCAAACAAGAAGAAAGTCAAGATGCCTCCCAAAAAGGTTGTCAAGGAAGAGAAGATCCCTCTGGGTCGCCCCGGAAACAACTTGAAGAGTGGTATCGTTGGTCTTGCCAACGTCGGAAAGTCGACCCTCTTCCAGGCCATCACCAAGTGCAACCTTGGTAACCCCGCCGTACGTTGAGAAAGAAAATCTTTGCAGAAGACCACTCGAGCACCCCCGCGCTGACAGCCTGTCAAAGAACTTTCCCTACGCTACCATTGACCCCGAAGAGGCTCGTGTCATCGTGCCCGACGAGCGATATGACTGGCTCTGCGAGAAGTACAACCCCAAGTCGCGCGTCCCCGCCAACTTGACGGTCTACGATATCGCTGGTCTCACAAGAGGTGCATCTACTGGTGCTGGTCTTGGTAACGCTTTCTTGTCGCACATCAGAGCCGTCGACGCCATCTTCCAGGTCGTGCGTTGCTTCGATGATGCCGAGATTATCCACGTTGAGGGTGACGTGAACCCCTGCAGAGATCTCGACATCATTGCCGAGGAGCTGCGACTCAAGGATATTGAGTTCGTCGAGAAGGCCCTCGAGAACCAGAAGAAGAAGACCCGCATGGGCGGTCAGAGTCTCGAGGTCAAGAAGGCCAAGGAGGAGCAAGATACCATCGAAAAGATCCTGAACTGGCTCAAGGACGGCAAGGATGTCCGAAAGGGCGCCTGGTCGCCAAAGGAGGTAAGAAACCATGCTTCTCTACACTTGCCTATTTCTGCACTTTCATGATGAATAAGGGCCATATGGCCTGATCTAATCCCAGCTCTTCGAAGGCCTCACCAAACAACGCAGAGGACCTACTGAGATAAGAAACACACTCTGACTGCATCCACACATCACGCTTTGTCAAGACTTGAGATTTGGATGAGCCATGGCTAACGCTGTTGCAATAGGTCGAGGTCATCAACCCTCTTTTCCTGCTCTCTGCCAAGCCTGTTGTCTACTTGGTCAACTTGTCCGAGAAGGATTTCATCCGTAAGAAGAACAAGCATCTTCCCAAGATCGCCGAGTGGATGAAGGAGCACGCCGCCGGTGACCCCATCCTGCCCCTCTCTGTATGCTTCGAGGAGCGTCTCACACAATTCGAGACCGAGGCCGAGGCCGCAGAGGAGTGCAAGAACTTGGGCGTCGAGTCGTCGTTGCCCAAGATTATTCTTTCCATGCGCAAGGCTCTTGGCCTTGGCAGCTTCTTCACTACTGGTACTGACGAGGTCCGACAATGGACTATCCGTCTTGGTATCAAGGCACCGCAAGCTGCTGGTGTCATCCACACAGATTTCGAAAAGACCTTCATCCAGGCTGTTGTGTACAACTTCAACATGCTTAAGGAGCTTGGCGATGAAGCTGAAGTGAAAGCCAAGGGTAAGATCATGACGAAGGGTAAGGAATACGTCGTCGAGGATGGTGACATCCTCCTTATCAAGGCCGGTGCTGCCAAGGGCTAGATGCGCTAGATAAAAATCAAGAATAAAGATATTGAGATGAACCACTTCAAAAATTCTTTAAAGGTGTGATGGCGTGATAACATGCTTGAATGTGCCAATTCTTGGTGAACGTTGACAACTGTATTTCATATTCAATTTGACCGATACACTGACGATATGAACCTTGTTCCATCTTGAGTGCCCGGCCGCCATGTTATTAATCCTGAGTAGGGGAAATTCTACCTGTCACTTCTCTGATGTTCTTTTCAGAGCTTTGAATGATTGATTTGAACTAGATTCGCTATTTTGAACGCCTTTCCCACGCTGTCGAGCCCCTACGCGTGGTCCTTGGTGTGATCTAATGCCTCTGATGAGCACGAGTTACAAGTTGAGCATGATCATAATCTGGAGCCATTCCTTTCCCTGATTCCTCCATAAACAGGTAACCAGGAGCATATGCGTTAATTCGCTTCTTGAAATCCTCGACTTGGCACCAGTGACCATGCAGGACCATACTGCTCTCCTCGAGCACTTGCAGTATTGGTCGCTCCATATCTAATCTGGGCAGATCGCATAAATGATTAGCAAGATGCATACAGCAAGACTCCAATCACCAGATACAAATGCTCCTGTCCATCACGCCGGCTGGCAAAACAGGAGACTCTGTTGGTCTATAAGACAAGGGTGAAAAGCGACATACGGACTGTTGATGCCTGAGAATCTCCAAGTATTTCTGGCACTGAGTAGAGATTCTACAGACCATCCCAGACCTAGAATCAATGTCCAGTACTCATATAAGAACCATGGCCGGATGCGGGCATGCACGTTTGGTGCCAATCGTCCATTGGATTCGAATTCACACAGCAACACCATGCCCGTGTTGAGGGCCTCCTGATCAACCAGGACACAGGGTATTCTGAGATCCTTGAAGATGACTCGGCCCACACGGGACATGGCCATACCAACAAAGTCGGCGTTCTCGACGTGGAGCCATGCCTGGAACCTCTCGGGCGTGACGGGCGAGGCGAGCCCCGGTTTCGGATTCGGCTCGATGACCCAGAAGTCGTCAAAGTCGGAGCCAGAGTCGGTGCCGTCGAGCCGAGAGAGCAAGATGCGCATCTTGGTCACAGCGCGCGGTTACGTTGGCTCAGCGGCAGTTCCACGTCGATCAGATACAACCACGTGCTACTTCGTCGTGTAGGGTCCATTGCTGGGCCATGAGGCGGGCCCGTCGCGAAGGAATTGTCTGGAAACCAGTATGCGTTCTCGCGTGTCTTGGCTTGACTATGGAACTCATCTCGCTCTGACTGCATCATCGAGGCCCATCGTGACACAAGATGGCGACGTTGATCGAGCTCAGATGTGTCTCCCTCATATTCAATGCCTGATTTGGAGGGTGCATTTTCCTGGATATGCAAATCAGACTTTTGAGTTCTGAAAAGTAGCGGTGGTGCTCAATCTCTGTTTGATTTTCTGATACTTCTCACTTCTAAGAACTGTTGCCACCCTTTGGTTTCGTCGGCTAACACTGAGTCATCCTTGATAGGTTCATCATGAATTTGTATATGTGAAGGGATGCCGCCAGGCCAATGTAATGGTTCGCGAGATGGCCTGGGTTGTGGGCGTGGATGGTTCGTTGTGGTGGCCATTGCCTGGGTCCTGATGTAAATTCCTGAACAACGAGTATAAAACTCAAGTTTATGACACTACTACACTGTTACCCTGACAAACGATTGACAATGTTTCCGCATGAATTTCTCCCCTGGCGCTTGATTAGTTCCGCATAATGTTTACTTCAGTGATAAGATTAAGCTAAGCTTCAAGCATTCTACCCCGCCATACAACAGTGCACTGTCGACCTTCGACATCTCTTTGCTTTCCCGTCTGCTCGCTCTTTTCCAATCCATTACGAGTCTGACTCGTCATATAATGACTTGAGAATGCGTGGACGTGGTGGACGCGGCGGTGCTAGGGGAGGCCATCGTGGTGGCAAGGCACCCTCTGCGCCCTGGAGCCGCCTGAAGCCCGTCGAACTCGATCCCCTCGATGTCTTCGGATTGCCCTCCAAAGGCGACGACAGGCTACTCGACCTCAAGACCCAAGAACGATACTACACAAAGATTGTCGAGCGCTACATGACTTTCTGCTCCGACGCTGGCGAACGAGATGAGCTGATGCGACGCTTCGCTTCGCTCAACCTGACGCTACAAAACGACGAGGCCAACAAGACTGCACAGACGACGCCGCACTTGACATCCACGAGACCACAGCCTCACCATGCGACCACCGCACCTGCCGGTGTACCAGTGAGATCTTCGCAGCTATCGAGCGATACAAAGGGCCTTTCCGACGTTCTCGCGGCCCTGAGGAAACTGCGCGAAGGGATCGTGGCTTCGAAGCGAGCCGACGACTTCGCCGTGCAGGCCTACCTCTTCTGCATCCGGCTGGCGGTGCTCGTGCGACACCCGGAAACCTACCACCCTTCGATCCTGCACCTGCTGCGGCGCATACACCCGCGACACCCCATGACGAGCATCGAGACGACCGAGGTGGTGGGCTACCTGATCCTGGACACGGCGTGCCGGCGGGGCGACCTCGCCGAGGCGTACGCGCTGCGCCACCGACACAAGCTCCGCGACCCCAAGGTGGACGGCGTGCTCGAGGCGCTGGCGCACGACAACTACGTGCTCCTCAAGCGGCTGCGCATGAGCGCCGACGGGCACAAGGCCAAGCTGCTCGAGTACGCCGAGGAGGGCATGCGCCGGCACGCGCTCAAGTGCTTCGGCCGCAGCTACCTGAGCGTCGACCTGGCCTTTCTCGAAAAGTGCGCCGACGCCAACTGGATGGACCTGATCAGCAACGAAAAGGTCGGCTGGGAGCTCGAGGGCAGCAAGGTCGTCATCCGAAAAGTCAAGGGCAGGTAACCATGGGGGTTCTTTTACCATGGGAATGGCGTTTATGGGCATTAGGCGGTAGCAAGACATGCCGTTGGGAATATAGAACCATGTGATGCACTCAAGCGAAGATCGGTTTAACTTATTTTATTTCTTTGGTATCAAATATAGCGTTGGTTGGCTCTTATTTGCTTGCAGTTGCTAGCTATTCTGGCTGTCGGTCTCCATACACTTCCAAGCCGACCAGGGTATGCATCAATGAGTCAACAACAACACAACCATGAGGATAGTAAGCCATGTGTCACGCCGGTCACGATGATGGGGGTTTTATCTTATCTGTATGTGCGCCAAAATCAATTCAATGCTGACGCAGTCGATGAATCATCTGTGCCCACAATGGTCACGCTATCATAGTTCACTATAAGCCTCGAACCGTCCAATCACATGTTCTACTCTGGTAGTGTAGTCGGTTAGCACGTGGGATTTTGATTATTCAAAACCTTCCCGAGTCCTCGGTTCGAATCCGAGCCGGAGTGTTTTTTTGTTGCTTTTTGGAGTAATTTATCAAAACGATCTGCAATATCAATTGTGTTTTTTTATCTGCAACGTTCACAACATGTATTATAACTGTTTTGCTTCACCTTCCTATTTCGCGCATACTGGTCACCGCTGAGACGACGCGAAAAATGATATACCAGTATGCTCTAGCATATGAGCATCAAACCGGGTTGATCTAAAAGATTATGGTCTCCTTTCGAGAAACGATGGCTGTTTTCCACTGGAATTCCTGAAGTTCTAGAATCAATTTCAACCTGGGTAAAGACTGAGGTCCGTGGCCAATCATTTTTGTCATTTTGTAGCCGATGAAAAACAACCTTGATGCTGCGGCTTGGCTGAGCTAAATTTGGCTGGTCACCGGAATGCCAGCAGTCAAGCAAGGAACTAAAGGCGGGGCCGCGACGCGGTTTGGCGACTCCACATCGCCGACCAGCGCGGAAACAACAATAACTTTAGCAGGCGTCGCTGGTAGCCAAATCGAGAGGGTCAATCCGCGATTGTTTTCCAAATTGATTGTTCGCTTCGCTTACCTCGACCTCGACCGACAACTCCCTCATTTCACCACCGAAACAACCTTCGATTGTTCGCGAACATCTTGATTGTGCCTACTGCCGCCCAGCTTGACATTTGCATCCTCACCGGCACGAGTCGCATCACCGCTGCTGGAAGAAACCATGCATTTATTCTCGATCGCGACCAAGCAACCGTTCGCTTGACTACCGTTCACCCCGTCAACACCCGCCAACGATCCGAGCCAGTCTCCCTTCAAGACAGTGCTACGATGACTTACAGCCCGCGCAGCCCGCCCGACGTGCTCGCCACGGCGCGTCCCAATGGTGGCACAGGTCGCACGCCCCAGTCTATAGTGGGCCACAAGAGGACAGGATCCGGTCGCATCGAGTCCAAGGAGAATCTACACGACGAAGAAGGCGCCTCCTTCACTTTCTCCTCCCCGGACCTCTCGGTAGGAAGTGCGACCAAGTCACGACTTCCCCATAGCCCAATAGCCCGACCGGTGTCGCTATTGAGCCGTACCAACCTGTCCAGGGATTCACCTCGGGACTCTCAGATCCCACGACCGAAGACTTCTGCACCAACACCGGAACATCTCAACGGTCAGCGACCTGCAGGATCACCTATGCCCTCTCCGGCCGACAGTGGCCGACGACGACGACAACCTTTAGGACTAAAAGCTGCATTTCAGCTTGCAGAGGCACAAGAGTTTAGAGAACGCAGTGGCTCCTCGTCTTCGAGCAGTTCCAACATTGATCTGAAGAAGGCTTTTGAAATGGCGAATGCCGAGGCCAATAGGGTGGCTTACGGATCACCAAGTCCGGCTCCTCGTTCATATCGGCGTAGGGAGTCGATAGATACGAGATCGAACCAGTACTTTGGAAGTGTCGGGGGCGTCGACCTCGGCCAGCGTCTCCGCCAGTTCGACAAGAATCATCAAATCGGTAGCAGCAATGGAGCCTTTGACGGCTTGTTCACGAGCAACGGACACGCGGCACCGAAAGCCGCGCAGGAGGACAAGCAAGCCGAACGCCAGTCAGGCAAGGTCGAAGAATTGCCCAACCGGAGCGCTGGACCTGACATTGACTTCCCTGATCCTGATCTTGATCCGCTGTCACCAGTCGATTACGGAAATGAGGACCTTGGCAGCTCTCCGATTGCGCGGCCTACCAATCCGTCACCAGAGAAGAGCTTTGGCTGGGACCTGGATGCTGACTTCACAGCTGGTGATCTGCAAGTATCGAATAGTCCTCGAATAAAATTAGGCAGAAACAACAGCCCACCGAATGATTCCGCACCAGCATCACCAATTTTTGACCAGCCAATACGGACCAACGATAAGCTCGACAAAATCCGGCAGGCGGAGATTGAGGCTGCGAATGCCGACATTCCTGAAGAAGAGTCCAGTCTTTTGCGAAGGAGGACGAATCCTCGGTTGGATGAGATCAGAGCTCGGGAAATGGCTGCGGTGTCTCCTCGGGCCTTATCACAGAGCAAACTCGACGAGATTCGAGCCAAAAATGCCGAGGCCCGCTCCCGCTCCTCATCCCCGGAAGAGGAGAGGAACTTCGGCCTGCAAAGCTCTCGAGAAAAGCCGTGGACGTCTATTAGAGATAGAGTCAACGCTAATCGCGAGACAGCGGCTGGAGTTGGCAAATCTGCCTCACCCCAGCATAACTCTAGACTTCCCAGGTCAACAAGCCAAGCTGCTTCGGATCGCGAAACAAAGGAGAGTCTCTTGTCGAAGCGGTCTCAGTTGGACACCAAAGATGATACTGACTTGCTTCGGCGACTCACAGAGGCAACAAGTCCTCCTCCAAGAAATCCACCACAACCTCGAGATCCTACACCAGACATTGCCCCCACCAACAACAAGGCGCCCGAGAGAGATGACGAACACCGACGTCCCTTTCGTGAAGAACAGCAGTCCCGAGACACGCGAGCTAAGAGCTCCCGAGATAGGCTTACTGTTGACCTTGCGGGCACATTGCTCGACAAGGCTCCATCAGAAACAGATCCCGTAGACCGGATCGAGGCTGAGATGGATCTCTTTGCGCTTGCTAAGGACCAATCCGAAAAGAGTTCATCTCGGGCTAAATCCCCTGGTCTCTCTGATAGGTCACCGATCGAAGAAACGCCAAAGGCCAAGACTCGCGTTGACCCTTCGACACTCCCGACTCCTCGTGTCATGGGTGCATATGTCGAGACACCAGCTACTGTCAAGGTGGAAAGAGACCTCGACTGGACCGATGTCGAATCAGATACATCAGCCCCTCAGACAAAGATACCGACCAAAAAGACGGAAGTCTCGAAGGAGCCAAAGATCAAATACGAAGACACCGACTCTTCCGACAAGGGTAAAACTACCCGCCGTGTTAAGCGCCGAACGAAACGCCGTCTTGTCAATACCGCCAAAATTCCCACTGTCAAGGATGACCTTCGCATGATCAAACGCCAAAACCACATTGAGGATTCCACTCTGGACGACTTTGATGACCTGCTGGACAACGAAGATATCGATCCCTCCATTGAAGACGACCTCAAGAGCGAAGACGATGATGAGAAAACCTGGCTTCGCATGAGCAAGTCGCTCCAGACGGGTCTTCAAGGCATTCGTTCTGCCAAGCTGGGCATCGAACGTTTGGAAGACAAGATATCGCAAAGCAAGCAAAAATCAGCTTTGGTCCAAAGCTCGACGATCTTCGAAACACAAGACACACCGATGGCGTACCATCCGTCATACAGGGAACCACAGTTTGGTTTTCCAGTCTTCTATCGCCGGTACCCTCAATTCCGACTCACACCACTGGGCCTCGTTACCTTTCTCTTTGCCATTTGGTACGCCGTCGAGTCTGTCTTCTGCTCTCTCTACGTCGATGCCTACAACTGTCCTAGCGGCATGACTTGTGACTGGTCACCGAACGAGCCCTACTTTCCATACGCGGCGCCATTCATGCTCGATGAATGGGCCACCGGCGGCAAAGGACGTGCACTGGCATGGCGCGTCGGTCAGGAATTTGGCGATGTGGCTGCAGAAGTGTCGGACTGGGTCACCGGACACGACTTTACCCAAGACGAAATCATGTACATGGATGTCTGGGACAGACGTAGGCACAGACGCAGACTCAACAAGCGCGGTTTGTACAGGAAATGGATCGAGCCGGTGCAGCACAAGTACAAGTTCCAGGCTTGGCGGGATTCATGGAATGAAAAGCAACGCGACCTCGACGAGGGCATTCCCATGTGGGAAGACGAGAGCATGAATGCAGACGAAGTGCTGTAAGAGAGACGGAACGACGCTGGAAGGAAGCTCCAGAGCAGGAGGCATGAGTCATTATATGGAGGAAGCATCATATACAAAGGAAACTGTAGTCAGTATTATGTTCCAGGCTGGCTACGGTGCGAGCGGGCGTTGTTGAGGGATGATACCATTGGCGAAGTTGCATTTACATCGCCGTATGATTCAGCAAGGCGTTACTGGCTATCTATTTGCAGCAAAGGAGAGAAATGAAGAAACATCATGTCAAACAATATTTTACATGTCACACATTTTCGAGCAGTGCAAATGACCATGGCACTTGTTCAATATCAGTTTGTGCAGATCTCCGTAATGTGCAAGTGCATTTGACAGTGCGGCACGGACGCCCCACTCTCCGTAAGAGGTTGCCTTGTGCGGCTGTCAGGTCGATGGTCTGATACATTTGATGATCATATTGGACCCTGACTGTGCTACACTTGATAACACTTACCATCAAAGTTTGTGCTGTCACACACTGGGCACCGAACAACCAGCCAAGGGTGGCTTGGATCATGTGTTGAGACTGCTCGCCGCTCGCAAGGACGGTTGATCCGGGACCATGCTGTTCATCAATGTTGACGAACCGAGGTGTCCAGGGACATCTGCGGCACGCAGGGCTGTCCGATCGCAAGCGGCGAGGTCGGGACATGCCAAGATCAGGCGGCAACGTATGTGCGAGTATCAGGGCCGGACAATGCCGCAGCTGCCAGACGGCACATTCAATCACCCGAGCATGTATGGAGAGGTTCCCGAGTATGGGGGTCTGATCAACACTGTGCTTCCGAGCCGGGGAGATGATTTTGATGCTTGCTGTCGTGCACTTTCATCTTTGGAGCATCGTCTATTCGATCATTGTAAGCACATGCCCATATCTCTACTCAATGATGTATACATGCTGATACACTTTTGCGCATCAAGACATTCGGATAGTTGTACCTTTCGAGACCCGGCACTGCCAACAGTTCACAGATCCCGAATCATACAAGCACAACATCGCCACGCAGTGGGTTCCTACGGCCATTGCCGATATGGGCATGTTGAGCGGTATTTTTTTGTATGCTTGCCGCAGTCTTCATATCCTGACGAAGGATCGCTACTACTACGAGCTCGCGCTTTACTACAAATTGGAATGTCTTCGGCTGCTGCAGGAAGCCCTATCTTCTCCTG